ACATTTCACAAAACTTATCGTGTGAGACAAAATACATAAGCAATAAGCGTATCGCTGTGTCAAAAACTCGGCAACAATCCTACCGCTTGTGATCAGCAGTGCAAAGCTTTAGCAGTGAGTTATTTTATATCACAGAGCTAACAATAAGCCTTTCAATGATTCAATCTATATGGAGAGGCTAACAAAGTCGAAGACACCAACGGGAAATAAGGGCCACCTAAAGAAAAAGTACAGGCTACAAACCTACGGAAAAAATATACTTTGAAAAAAGATGACTTAATAAATAATTTACGTCCATAGTCATTATTTCGGCAGTAATCCCAAATACAAGCAAAGAATTAAACATTATCGATCTATAATTTCTAAAATAAAGATACGCAATTGGGCCTTAATACCTAGAGTTGCATTAATAAGACCCAAAATGCAGCAGCTCAGTTTAAATAACAGTTTTGCGTGTTTCCTTCACGACTTTCTTTGATCACTTAAGAATTGTATTATTTTACACTGTAATCGGGGCTTTCAGAAAACAAAATAAAAATTATAAAAAGCACATGCATTTGATAGATTCTTATAGAAGAGAAACGAAAAATGAAACAGACAGCTTCTGCATGCAAAACTGGAATATTCAGGTGGCCGAGAGGTGGTGCATTCATGGTAAAATGTAACCTGTAAATAATTACAAAAATCGTCAGTGGGCTCTATTTCCTGCCGGGCCTCATAACCCGCGGAAACCTCATAAATTAAAAATGGTGTGTAATTTAGTTAATTACTTCTGTGTATGATCTATATGATTACAGATTCCTAATACGTTAAATTTATCACATATGTCTAATTTCTACACGCTTCGCAGAGTCTCCGTTATACTTGTAATTAACATAAAAATAATGTTTAGTTTAGAAATTGTAGTGTGTTACTTCATCTCCATCAAATATTCTTATGCTCCAATGGTTCATTTCTTAAAGTCGCCAAAACGGAAGGTAAGTGTATGTTTCACACGGTCGTCATATTGTTATTTACACAGGATACTAGCACAAAGAAAACAACTCAGAATTTTGCGTATTTTTCTACGTTATGTTGCCATGTGAAACAGCGTTGGGCTAGTGCAGCCCAGATCCCAGAAGTTTGCAAGGCCGGAACGTTACTATTATTAACGGAAGTAAATTAAAATGTACAAAGTTCGGTTGACGTTTATTTGACATTCATTCCAACTTCTATTACAACTGATCGATTTCTTTAAAAGGGATTTGGCATTCTGGTTTGCTTCAGCTTAGAATTAGACTAATGTGAGACAACGAATTATTTGGGCAGGATCTTCGATTCTATGCGGGGGGGGGGGGGGGGT